ATGGACAAGATGAGCTCCTCCAGGGTCATTGCTTTAGCTTTTGTGTCCTGTCCCAGGCCTGGACCATGGGGATGAGAGAGCCAAGATGGGGGCAGGAGACGCACAGGAGCCCCTGGACTGTGTCTCCCCCCAGCTGCACAGGAGCGAGGGCTGGGAAAGGAGCCCGGGAGGAGGACACCAAGCAGTGTCTGAAGAAAGTCCAGGCATGGGCTGGGTGGGTGCCTTGACCCCTGAGAAAAAGGTTTCTCCAAGACTCCCAGAGGCTCCCCTTTTTTCAGCTGGCAGGCCCAGGATCACCCCCTATTCCCACTTCACAGATGAGGAACCAGCTACGCCAATTTCCTCGGATCCTTGGGAAGCCTTTTCTGGCCCCCCTCCACCCTCCACCAGAGGCTGAAGTGGAGGCCTTCTGCCTCCCGCTGTCCCTTGGGTCTCTCCCTAAGGATAAGGGTGGTATCCGGCTCCTAGCTAGCTCACAGCTCCAGCCCGATACACCGCCCATGCCCTTGGAACACCTAGGAAGGGTGGGATCAAAGGACAGTGGGAGGCCCAGTGAGTCCCTTGACCCACCAAGGCCGGCTGGGCTGGAGACCAAGCTGGGCTGAGCACCCCCAGGCTTCAGCTCAAAGCTCCCCAATGGGGGGCGGCCCGTGGCTCACTTGGGAGAGCGTGGTGCTGACAACACCAAGCCAAGTGTTAAGATCCCCTTACTGGTCATCTTTTTAAAAAAGAAAAAAGCTCCCCAGTGGGGGCGGGAGTCTCCTAGGGAGAGTGTGGGTGGGGAGCCGGCCATGCTGTCCCCTCCAGCTGCTCTCCCGCCCTTCTCCAGCTGGGGTTCACGTTCGACCTAGAAAGTGTCTCCAGGGCCCAGCACAAGGCTGCCTTTGTGTGGAGGTCAGATTCCAGTAGCTGTATGTCCTGACTGGGTGAGGTTGCTCCCTGCAAGTACAGCCATCTGGGCACTTGGAGCCCAGCCAGGGGATCGGAGCTTAGGACCCTCAAGCTTCCTGGAAACTCACGGAGATCAGGAACATCCAAGGGCTCCAGGGTGAACCCTGATTCCTGCAGGTGAGACTCCAAGAGCTCCTCAAAGGAGCTGCCAGCTCAGCAGTTAGGTGAAGGGAAGGCAGGGCTTGCAGCCCTGGAGGGACCACGCCGGGCACCAAGCTGTCCACAGAGACAGCACAACCACGTAAGAGCTCTACCTCTTACTAGCTGTTTGACTCAGAAAAATCACTAAACCTCTCTGAGATCCGTTTCCTCTATCAACTGGGAATGATAGAGGTGCCTTCCCCACTGCTGCTGTGAAGATAGAGATGAAAGAATACCAGAAAGTCCCTTAGCACAGGGCCCAGCACACGGTAATGTTCAATAAAAGTTCGCTCTTCCTATTAACGGGGCAGCTGTGTGGGAAAGGAAGACTATAAATCCTCTCATAATCCCACAAATTCTCCTCCTCAACAGATTTTGATATGGATAGCTGCCTTTTCTCAGTCTTATGAAAAGTGCTTTGTGAAAGGAAGCTTCAAGACTCCTGCCAACCTGTGCCCGCCCCAGTCCTCTCCCTAATACAGAGTCCGGCCTGGGGCTCCCTGAACTTCTGGGGAGTCAATAAAATAAAGGATCCCAAGCCCCGGCTGGAGGCCTGGCACACAGACAGCACTCAATCCATGTGAATCTGGATCTCATCGCAGCTCCAACCCACAGCCTCTCCTCCACCCCCACGGACACTGGGGGCTGCATGAGAGGGGACTAGTCAGGCTGTGGCCCACATTCCAGGCCTGGGGACCCAATGAGGCCTATGTGGCACTGCCTTGGACAGCACTTGGGGTCCCTTGGGGACCTCTGCTATGGGTACCTGCTGACAGCCATAGTGCCAAGATGCCCCTTAGCTCCTTCCAAACTGTTCCTTCCTCCTTACCACCAGTCCTAGATGCTGAACTCCCAAGGGCAGACCACTTAGCCCAGACCCAGGCCCTGAGGGAACTTAAGGTTCTGAGGGCAGCTAGAGGTCCTCGTCATCCAGGAAGCCCACCCTGATTCCTTGGTTCCCAAACAGCAGGTCTTCCTTCCTAACCTATCTGTGCCCTCTACACAGGGCCTGTCTGCCCTCGGATTAGAGTTCTTTGAGGGCAGAAAGAGCCCTGTCCATGTCAATATCTCACAGCCCAGCACACAGAATGGAGGGTCCCAGTGTGCATCCATCCTGGCTGACCCTGCCAGCTCCCCAAAGTCCTGATAAAATAGATCAAGATGGCCTCGCCACCTACCCTGCAGTCGCCTAGCCCGTCCCCACCCCTCCATGAAATCCACCACCCTCCCGCAGCCCCCTACATGGCCCCTGGCTGCTTGGATGGCCCTACACCAGCTCCCTCTGATGGCACCTTCTCTGGGATTCCCTACCCTGCTTTTTAAAAACGTGCCCATTCCATGCTGTAGGGCTGCCAGATGACAGCCATTCAGATTGAGCCACTGGGCTGGGACTACTTAGTCCTCCCTGGGGACACCAGATGCTTTTCTGAGGCTCTAGGACACACCGAGCTTCCCCTACATTGGCTCCTTTCCTGCCTGTTGTGGATTGATGTTTCCCCCAAACTTGGTCCCCACAGTGAAAGTGTTAAGAGGATGGGGCCTTGAAGAGGTGATTAGATTGTAGGACCACACCTTAGTGAATGGATTAATAATCATGGTCATGGATGTGGTTCTGAGGGCTTTAAAAGAAGAGCACGTGAGAGGTTAATCTCTCTCTGCTCTGCCATTTTCTGCCATATGAGACCCCTGGATCACTGTCACCACCACCAAGGCCTTCACCAAATGTGTTCCCTGGACTTTGGACTTCCCAGCCTCCAAAACTGTAAGCGATAAATTTCATTTTCTTACAAGTTACCCAGTTCCGTGTATTTTGTTACAAGCAACAGAAATGTACTAATACACTGCTCCTCCAATTCCAAGCACGCCAATGTCAGCACCCACGCTCGGGACTTCCTGAGCTCCAGGGCTTCACTGTGTGCAAGCCCTTTGTGCTGTCACCTGTTCTCTGAGCACCCCAGAGAAGGGACTATAAAGTTGGAGCCATCTGAGCCTGAGTGAGCTGGTGGGACCTGACCAAGGCAGCCCAACAAGTCAGTGATGCCTGATGACACGGTGACCTCTGTCACTATGCCTGCTGGGCCCATCTGTCACTGTGCCTGGCCTCCCTCCTGTGCCTTTCAACCATTCTCAGAAACGAGTCAGTCCTCTCCTTGGCCCTGCTCCTTCTCCTTTATTTCTGAGGAGGGGCATGAAAGGTGATGTCCACCTACCCTCTCAGCAGATCCCTGCCGAGGCTACCCCGAGATACTCAGCCTGGGCGAGGGGCAGCCTGTCTGATGGCAGTAGTAAGCCCGGCCGTGTGAGGGGATCGGCACTTGGTCTCCAAGAAGCCAGGCGGCCTGAGGAACGGAGTGCCCAGAGCCCTGGCCAAGCGTCTCCCCTCACTATGCTTCTTTTGCCTCAGTTTCCTCCATGAAAACAGACATAGCAACCTTTGCCCTGCCCCTTGTCCTCTGGCCCATGACAATGCTGGTGCTGAGCAGAGGAATCCTTGCTCTGTCCATGTCCTCTGGCCCCCTCCTGGGTCCCAGGAAAGCCTGGGCCAGAGAAACTCTGAGGGAAGAGAACTCAACAAAGGCCTGATGCTTCTCTCCTTCCTCCTGTCCCCGGTTTTGGCCTCACACTCTGCTGGTTCAGGGACCCTTGGGACCGGCGCCCCCTCTAGCCCTTTCCTACCCTGCTGGTCCCACTTTAAACACTGCCACCCACTCCCCCAAACCCATAAGCCCTGTCTAAGCATGAGGAAAACACAGGCATACCATTCTACAGAATGCACAGCCAGTTCAACGCTACTGCCTAGTGGTCAGCTCGCCTTCCCCCAGCCCCCTGCCGCAGCTCCCACCCAAGTGCCCAAGGAAGCAGGGTGGCCGCAGGGATCTTGGACTGTTTACTGTGGAGAGGAGCCTGCGGCTGGGAAAATTCACAACCTGGAAGACCAGCAATGTGGGGGCAGGTCTCAGCCCCCGAAAGGTGACCAGGCCAGGGGCCGGCCCGGTGGTGCACTGCTACAGTGCACCACTTGGGAAGTGCAGCAGCGCTCCCGCCGAGGGTTCGGATCCCACATACAGACCGGTTCCCGCTCACTGGCTGAGCGAGGTGCGGGCCCAACACCGAGGGTTGCGATCCGTTGCCGGTCCCTGGTCCGGTACGGGCGCGACACTGAGGGTTGCGATCCGTTGCCGGACATGAAAAAAGACAAAAAGGAAAAAAAAAAAAAAAGAAAGGTGACCAGGCCAGTGACAACAGCGCACAATCCCAAGGACGGCACAGATCGTGGGCGGCAGTGACTGTTTCCTTTTTAAAAAAGCTTCTGTTATTGCGACAATGTTGTTGTGCAGCTAATAAAAATGAACGACTGTGTTATTATTATTAGTGTTTTGATGACGCTTCAGAATAACTGATAATTTTGCCTCCCTTAAGGCACAATTATCTGAAGGTAAAGGTCATTAACAAAGCATGTGACTTTTCAAGCCTCCAAAACAAACCCTGCTGACCCCCACCTATCTGCCTGACTTTTGCCCCAGTTAACAAGGCCAAAAATCCCAAGCTGTTGCTTATCTGGGCCTCCTGCTCCTCAGCTCCCCTGAGCTGGACATCCAAGTACCCAAGGCCCGGCCCAGATGAAGTGCTAGCTCTGGATTCTCTCCTTCCCAACCTTCTCGAAGAAGAAATCCACCTCCCTTCCTACCCCACTCCCTTCTATCCTGCCTGGCCCTGATGGTGGCCATGGTGACAACGAGGGAAGGGGCTTGGTGGGTTCCCTGGGAGCCTGGAGATCAGCAGGATTTCCATCTGTCCCTCTCCCCCCAAGTTCTGTGCTGTGGTTCTTTGCTGCCCCCTCCAGCATACCCAGCACAGCTCAGTTCCCCCTCCTGCCCACCCCACCCTGCAGACCCCAGCTGCCTCACCTGGAGAATCCACCTCCACCTGGGCATCCTTTGACTTCTCTGGGGCCAAGAGCTCGAGGGCATGGCTTAGGGACTCTTTGGAGAGCGTCTGCCCGTCAGTCAGGGAGCTGGCAGGGGATGGGGGACAACACTTATTAGAGTGTGGTGGACTGGCCAGGGACTCTGGCCCAACACACATCTCAGTCCCGTCCCCCGCCCACCCCCCCTACACACAGGGTGTCCTTCAGACTCCTGAGGGCCATCCACAGAGGGAGCCCCAGTGGGGGTCAGGGGACACAACCTCAGTCATTGCGGGGCTAACTCACCCCCACCCCAGCCTCTCCCTGCAGGTTCTAAGGGTTCAATAGAAAGAGAAATCAAGTCCTGCTGTGCTCTAATTTGCTGTGTGACTCTGGGCAAGTTCATGCCTCTCTCTGGGTCTCAGTGTACTTATCTGGAGAAGGGGTTTGGCATTGGAGGATTCTGAGTACCACCCAGTAGAGTGTAGGCTTTCAGGGTTGAGAAGACCACCCACCCCTCAGCCCCACGCCCCACAGTCCCCAACCGTGCTTAGAAACTCAGAGTGGAGCTCTACAACATTCCTCGTACTCTCAGAGGTCCTAAGCAGACTCCCAAATGAGGGCCTTCCCTCCTTGATGGTACCTGTGGGTGCACCCCATGTCTTTCTACCCCATGGAGGGAACAGGCATGGAACCTGGAAGACCTGGGGCTCAGTCCATCTACCTTCATCCTTGGCCCAGATCTGCCTTGCCTCCCAGACCTAGTGACCCTGGATAACAGGTCTATTCTTTTGGCCAGTGCAGCCCGGAGGTTACTGAGCTTCCATTACTATCTCAGCCTCACTACCCCTCAGCACTGTTCCTCCTCAGGGTTCACCTAGCCAGACCTCAGCCTCCTGAGTAGACGAGCAGATAGATTTCAGTACACACCTCACAACTGTGCAGGGCTGTAGGGTTGCACAACTTCAGGGACACATTTCATTGTCATCAGCTATGCAAACAGTGCCCACTGGAGTTGTGCAGTGTGCAACCCGTGCAGCTGCGCATGGCAGCCCTGAGGTGGGAGTCCTGTCTGTCTTGTCGGGGTGGGGCTCGCTCCATCCCTGTCCAGTCCTCAGGCAGCTGGGCCAATTACCTGGCTCTCACACTCGGCCTTACTCCTTGTCGGTACTGCAGGTTCCGAATAAAACTAAGTTTGCGAACACACCCAGGCTCACCTGGCGGCAGTCTGCTTAAGAACCTGAGATAGGTTTTAAAGCAAAAGACATCAGAAGGTTATAAAGGGAAGGGGATGGGGAGAAGGGGGATGAGTGGGGGCGCTGAGCTGGCCCCCTTCTTGGGAACTTGGTGAGCAAGGCCTGGGCCACAGGGCTGGAGCAGTCCTTCTGTTACTATGGAGACCTGCTCCAGGGAGATTGCTGGAAAGTCTGAAAAAGACAACAAAGTATGCTTCTGGGTGAGCCCTACTGTGTGGGCAGAAGAAACAGAGGTTTCTGAAAGCTGTGGAACTTGTCCTGCTAACTTCGGATCATTGGTTACAGCCACTACTCTCTTGGGTTATGGAGTAGAAGCTGCCTCCCCTTTGAGACAAAGACATTGAAATGTTGCCAAATGGCCTCTGAGCTCTAGGCTGGGGCAATAATGGGGAGGATGAGGGGACACACACGTGGCTAGGCTCCGGGTCCCACACTGTGATCGCTGAGGGACGGCTGTGAACTTGGTTACCATCCATGCTCTGTCTCGGCCTGGGCCCTCAAAAAGATGGGGCCAGGGGCCGGCCCGGTGCTTAGAGCTGATCAGCCTTTGAAGCCACCAGCTGGCCAGCCACCCCTACATTAGCTGTCCTGGGCTGTAATCTCCCACCATCTTACCTGCTTCCTCACAAACAAGTCTGTTTTTAAATCCTCACCATCAAAAGGTCTGCTTAGAGCTGATCAGCCTTTGAAGCCACCAGCTGGCCAGCCACCCCTACATTAGCTGTCCCGGGCTGTAATCTCCCACCATCTTACCTGCTTCCTCACAAACAAGTCTGTTTTTAAATCCTCACCATCAAAAGGTCTAAGCAGCATTTCCTCCACCTAATAAAATTTGTGTAAACTGGTTCTGGCTTTAAAATAGCTAAACAAAGACCAAATGAGAAGGCAGCCACCTAAGGAAGCCCAGGGCCAAGCGCACTTGTGATTAGAGCCTTCTGTTTATGAGGGGATGAGGCTGCCGGAAGCACCTTCTCCCTGGGGGGCCTTTGCCCGGGTGTCCAGCACCCATTGCAGTAGCAGGTCTGTCGCACTCAGACACTGTTCTTGTCCAGCTGCCCTGTTCTGTCCTTCGCCCTCCCTTCAGTGAGAGGGTGGACCCTGGCCCTCCACCAGTACTTGCTGTGACAGGGACGCCTCATTTATCCTTGCAGTGGCCCACAGAGGTTCCCTTTCAACTCCCTATGCCCTGTGCTTAAAGAATTTTGGAAGCTTGACAAAGAGAATGTCAAAAACTGTTTCCAAATGAGTTAAGCTTGCTCTTTCCTTTGTTAGGTCCTTTGAGGCTTAGTGCTTTTAAGGGGATATTGTCTGAAATAGAATGTGCTAGATCTCCCTTCAACTCGTTCCTGCTCATTCAGGGTTATAACAGTTACAGACTTCACCGGCAGGGCGTGTAACACAGAAGCGAGTCTAACTGCACCGTCGCCAGGGCCCTCTGCCTCTCCTCAGCGTGGCCACTGCCTTGCGCTTCGCTGTTGCTGTTGGCAGTGGTTGTTTTTTAGTTTTTAATCATCTCCTACATTGCCGGTGGTCACTTCCTGCCATTGTCAGTGTGCCGGCTTCCAGCAGCTCAGCTCCCCGCTACTTCGTATTTTCTTTTTGTAGCAATATAGCCATGCTGATTAGAACAGCAGTGACATCAAAGGAGATGTTCCAAAATGGACCCTTTGTGTTTCCTCAGAGAAAAGCACCTGAGGTTTGGGCAGCAAGCCCTCCTCTGTCTCGACTCCTCAAAAGCATTGTGGGCTCTTCTGATTCTTGCTGCTATTCCAGGAAGGACAGGTGGCCAGCAGATGATTCCGACAGGTGAGGTGACACTACTATCACGGTGATCATAATGGGCCTGTCCAAGGTCACTCACATATTCCTGGGATCCTGGAAATTTATACTCCTCCTGGAATGCGGCACTCCAGAAGCTGGCAGAAGTCCCAGAGGCAGAAGTCACCCAGTGTAACAGAGTGACGGGAATAGTGGGAGAACAGCCTCAGCAGGCTGACTTGCTTCCGTCTGCGTTTTGAATTCCCAGGAGGAAGAAAACTCTAAAAGGTGGCCGCCTTTCACCTTGATGAGGACAGGGACCTGTCCTCGCCCCGGCTCACCTAGCACACTATAAGCGTATCACCTTACTCTTCTTTCATGGCATGAATGACTCCTTTAGCACCCACCCAGAAGGGTGGGAGCGAGAAAACAAAGGGCACGCTGGGCCATGTGACATGAGGCGCGTGTGTGTGCGTGTGTATGCGTGTGCATGCCTATGTGTGTGTGTGCATGTGTGTGCGTGTGCGCGTGTGTGCATGCCTGTGTGCGTGTGTGTATGTGCACGTGTGTGTGTGTGCGTGTCTGCGTGTGTGTGCGTGTGCACGTGTGTGCGTGCCTCTGTGTGTGTGTGCGTGTGCGTGCCTATGTGAGTGTGTGCGTGTGTGTGTGCGTGTGTGCGTGCCTGTGTGCGTGTGTCTGCGTGTGTGCATGTGTGCGTGTGCATGTGTGCGTGTGTGTGCATGCCCGTGTGCATTTGCGTTCCTATGTGCGTGTGTGTGCGTGTGCACGTGTGCGTGCCTATGTGCGTGTGTGTGCATGTGCGTGTGTGCGTGTGCACGTGTGCGTGCCTGTGTGCATGTGCGTGCCGATGTGCGTGTGTGTGCGTGTGTGCATGTGTGTGTGTGTGCGTGTGCGTGTGTGCACGTGTGCGTGTGTGCATGTGTGCGCACGTGTGTGTGCCTCTGTGCGTGTGTGTGTGTGTATGTGTGTGTGTGGGCAGAGGGGTCTGGGAGAGGCCGCTCTCGGCCTTTCCCTTAGCCACCTTGGTCGATTGATCGTCTCTTCTTACTCCTCCTATCTTGCCAGAGGAGCTGATGGGAACCATTTGAAACAGAGCCTCCCAAGCCTCCTTCAGCTCCGTCTTCGGGAAGCCTCCTGGATTTCCCCACACCCGTCATCCTCACAGCCCCTGGATTTGATCTTTGAAGGCCACACATGCCTTAGGAAGCTTCTTGAGAGCAGAAGTCACTCCCAATTCTGTTCTGTCCTCTGACCGTGAGTGCTAGATGTTGTGGCTCAGTAAATGGTGGCGGGACCTAACCCTTCTTAAGTTGTCACCATGTGTGTGACACATAAACTGAGGAGAGCCCTCATTTTCCAGGTGAACCCCTCATGGATGAGGATCCATCCCCTATTTATATCTGCTGCCTCTTCTTCCCGTGTGGCCCTCGGCAGCCAGGCCACTGTTCTGTGTGCCGTAGGTGCTCAATGAATGCGTTCTTGAAACAGCATAGCATTGAGGTTCACCAGTCTGCCTGCCTGCCTGGGTTCACTAACCGTGCAACTGTGGCTGAGTTACTGTCCCTCTCTGAGCCTTAGTTTTCTGCCTATATCCTGTGGTTATTGTGAGAAGATGATATACGCTCTCATCGTTACTACTAGTGGGCTCTAGTGGATCTTTGGGGAAATAAGAAGATGAAGATTCTTTGGTGAGATTAGGAAGGTGACTGAATGGGGTGAAAAACCTCAGACTCAAGTCTTGGAGTCCAGGTGCTGTGCCAAGTGCTTTCCCTGGGAGATGGGATGGGGCCGGGAAGTGGGAGGAAGGTGGGATCATTGTTTCTTACACGATCCTCAGAGTGGAGCTGGCGGACCTGAGCAGATGCACCTCTGGCATGATAGCTCTGGGGCGGCTGCACCCCACAAGCTCACCCGGGAGAGAGCGAGAACCTCAGAGAACGTGTCACGGTGTCCCCCGGGAGAGCCGCAGCAGCCCCAGAGAGGCCCTGCTCCACCAGACCGCCCTGCAACAGAGACACGGCGTGAGTCATGGCCCTGCAGCCCGGCTGGGTGAGGAGGCCGTCGCCCTCCTTC